ATCTACAACAAACAAATCTACACACTACAAACAGACACTCTACTACACATAACATATATACCAAGAGTGCAGTTACATTATATGCGTATATGCAATTACTTAATAAAAGCTCTATATCAAATACTTTCCATTCTTCTATCATCTTAGGTATTATAAACATTTTAACTGCTCTTATCTCCCCCAATATAGTCAGATACTTCTTTTTGTTCTTTTAAATCTATCTTGCTAAACATTATTTCTGACTTTTTAATATTTACCCCTAAGCCTGAATACAGTTTTAAATCCTGTAATATTATCATAAATTCCCTCATGGCTTGCAGGGGATTCTCTAACACTAATATATCATCTGCAAATAAATTCAATTTAATTTCCTCCTTTACTCCTTCCCTATCCTATATCCTTGTATTTTAATACTATTTCTAATTCTGTCTACCAATGGCTCCATCGCTATTATAAAAAGCATTGGGAATAAGGGGCATCCCTGACAAACAGTGAACGTGAGCAATGACTTGTTGTTGTTGTTGTTGTTGTTTAGTCGCACAGTCAAATCCGACTCTTCGCGACTTCGCAATGACTACTTTGACAGAAATGGAAAACAGCTCATTAGTATGTTGCAATGCAACACAGAGGGTGGGAAAATACATACGCGCCAAGGAGGGTGGGGGGGATGCAGCAGCAAAAACAATTGAAGAGAGGCAGGAAGGCAGACAGAGAAGAGGTGGGAAGGGGAAAAGAGAGAAGAGAGGTGGGGAGGGGAGAGAAAGAAGCAGAGGGGCGTTAAAGGGGTGGAGAAAAGACAGCTGCAAATTGCGAGTTCCCCACTAGAATACCCCAACTCCAACCCCGTAGTCCAAAAAAAGATTCTGAAGATGCCGGGGACAGAAAATCTGGGGAGGAACACCATTAGATTTGGGTCAAATGCCAACCCCACACCAACATGTGGGGAAATGATCAATTCCCCCGAATATTTCCAGGAGGTGACACTGGGGCAAGCGATTATGTGGAATCAGCCTGATTGCAAAAAATGATTGCTGTTGATTGGGGAAGGTCTGTTTTGCCTGGGGCTGAGTGCTGGCCCCGCCTTCTGCTGGGTGAGCCTTGAATTTGTAAGGATCCTCTGTGCCAGAGGCAGACCATAGTTAACTGTGAAGGAGCAGGAAGAGAGCTCCTGGAGTGGTGAGTGTTTATTTTTTTCCCCTTTCCTTAACTGCTGGGAAGAATTAGCTGACGTATTGTGTGGGAGGATAGTGTTTGAGGGTGCGGGGGGGGGGTGTATAGCCTGCTGGAGAGTGGTGCCTGTTTGGCTAATTACAAAAGGGGATTGAAAAAAGGGATTGCTGTTGATTTAGATTTGGGTCAAATGCCAACCCCACACCAACATGTGGGGAAATGATCAATTCCCCCGAATATTTCCAGGAGGTGACACTGGGGCAAGCGATTATGTGGAATCAGCCTGATTGCAAAAAATGATTGCTGTTGATTGGGGAAGGTCTGTTTTGCCTGGGGTTGACTGCTGGCCCCACCTTCTGGGTGAGCCAAAGGGTGAGAACTAAAGGGATTGGGGCTGGGGACTTCATAAGTAGTTAAGAAAGTAGTACATGCTTGTGCTTGTTTCCTCTTTGGCTCAGGTAGTCATTTGGTCAGTTCTCTAAGTTTCAGGGTATGTCAACACACCAAGGTATTTCTAGGTGAAAGAATCCACTTGGGGAAGTGATGATGAAGGCTCACGGTCCATTTCCAGTCACCTGTAGGAAGTGTGCCATGTTTTCCTCCCTGAGGACAAGATGGACTACACATGTCAGAAGTGTAAGTTGATAGGAATCTTAGAGGAGAAGGTTAGAAGCCTGGAGGAAAGGATTACTACTCTCTATGAGATCAAGGAAGGGGCAGGGTTCATTAATGGAAGCCTTGATGTTCTGCATAGGGAAGGAGAGTCCAGTCAAAGTGACAATGGTGTGGCTGACTGCCCTAACAAGACCCCTCAGACTGCTACAGCAGGACCCCAAAGGTGTCGAGTGAGATGGCACTTAGTGCCATTAGAACTGAGGAATTGATTCCAGGCCCTTACAGTAGAGGCAGAGATGGAAACACTGCCAGTGGAAGTATCACAAACACAAGGAAGACAGAGGGAGGAGAAAAAGAAGATAAAAATAAATGGCACTGGAAGGAAAAGGAAGGTGTTGGTTATAAGTGACTCCCTACTGAGGGGTATGGAATGTCATGTGTCCAGGCCCGACCTGTCCAGGCTTCAGAGGTGTGTTGCTTGCCAGGGGTGAAAATTAAAGATATTAGACTCAGGATCCAAAAACTCATCAAACCTACAGAGCATTACCAATTTCTGATGGTCCATGTGGGAACCAACGGTACAGCGTTGAACACCGTCAAAAACCTTAAGGTTGACTCTGAAGCTCTCGGGAGGAAGCTGAAGGCAATGCCGCTCGGAGATCGGGCAGGTGGGGGCCTTGCCTCCGGCTGCGTGCACATAAAGAGAGTCCCTTTAAGTGCAAGCAGCCAGCAGGAAAGGGCCCAACGTGCCCGATCTCTGAGCGGAGATTGGGTGCGTGAGGACCTCCAGCTTCCTGCGCTTAAAGGGGCTCCCTTTAAGTGCAGACAGCTGGTGGGAAAGGGCCCCATGTGCCTGACCTCCAAGTGGCAGCCGGCAGGACTGTCCCCATGGGGCAGGGCTTGGAGCCAGGAGGTCATCACGTTGGGGATGCCCCGCCCCCTCCAGGAATACCCCCTAAAGCCCCCGCTGGCAACCCGATGGACCTGGCAACCCTAGGTGGATTAGACTTGGAGAGAGTGGCTGACTTAAGGTCACTCAATGAGCTTCAGTGGTAGAATGGGGACTTGAGTCCAGGTCTTCCAAGTTCCATTCTCTAACTACTACATGACAAAAGGCAAGAGCTGGTGCAACAAGTTTACATGGGCAAGAGCCGGTTTGACTAACAGATTACGACTCATGAAAATTTACGCCACAAAAAGCTTTAAAATAATATATAAAGATTCTTGTACTACAATCCTAAACAGTATTACATCCTTTTTGAATCTATGCATTTACAAGTGTATCACTCTTTTTAGGATTACACTGTAGTAGGTTTGCCAAGTTGAAATTTCTCTGTAGCGGGGGACTCCCGTTCCGTAGAGTTTTCCCTTGGATTACAGTGGCCCGCCCCCAGCGTGCCTGGTGTGGTCGGGTGGGGTTCCCCCCGGGGCCCGATCCGCTGCCGGTGGGGAACGGGCCCCCGGGGTGGGGGTTTCCCCGCCCCCCAGGGGGACTTGGGAAGCCTACACTGTAGATCTGTTACAGCCAAAACAACAAACACGGCTTCCCTTGGAGTTGATTGCAGTGCATTCATTCTGTGCCAGATTATAGGTGTAACAAATCAGTATGGGGTTCTTCTGTGCCAAAAAAGAAATTTCCCAGACTTCTGCTTTTACCAGCATTGGGGGGGGGAAGTATTGCTCCATCAGATATAGAGCTAGATGAACAAATGGCAGCTTCACATGTTCAGATGCATGCAATGTGCAAAAAGCAGTCTAAATATAAGCCAATTAATTCCTACAGAACAACTTCAGCAACAGGAAGCCAGTGGTTCCACAGTGGCACCAATTCGTTCAGTCAGCCGTAACTAAATCATGCCTAATCAGTCTCTTGCCCTCTGCTTTCCAGTGGTTTGCTAGAGAATAGCTTGACAAGTTTCCCAGCATTTGGTCTTGCATAAGAGAGCAAAGTAGAAATATTAGATTTGCTCAGGCCCATAGCTAGCCAGTGACAGGGGGCTAGGCCCCTCTCAGATGTACCCAGTCCCCTCCCGGTGGAAGCCAGACACCCCCCCCTCGGTTTCACTGCCTGCAGGGTCCCTCAGTTTCACTGTGGCTAAGCCGGTGAGGAGCTGGCCTCTTCCACGGAGCCTGTCCGCAAAGTCCAAAATAACAGCCAAGGTGAATCTTCTGCTCAAGAACAAGCACACAACTTTCTCGAAGTGAACTTTGAATTTTGAGATGATCTTGCATTCTTTCCTGAAAACGCTTTCCATTTGGAAGATGAGACTCACTTTGTCCAGGATTTCATGCCCCTAAGCGATCTCCTAGTGAATCATTCCAGAGTACAGATTGCTTAGTTAACATAGGGTAGCTAAATCTGCCCTAAAATCAGCTAGTCTTTTTTGCTAGAATTTGTTCCCTACAGTAGCTTATGTGGAACATGGAGTGGAATATGAAGTAAACCATAATCTTTACAGCCATGAATACAATTATTTCTCTCTTGAAATTATCCTCTGTATAACTTCCTGCTTTTTCACAGCATTTTAGGCCTTGTTTAGGTAAATAAGTAGATGATTAAGTTCATTCTGAATTTTTGTGAGGCAAATGTAACCACTGAAATTCTATGGAGTCAAGTAAATATGGGCATGGCTGTCTAACAAAACCTTTAAAAGTCCTCAAAATGTAATGCAGCTCCTCAGCTTTCCAAATGGTGAAACAGAAAATGTTGGTATCAGACATAGGGATGCCAGCCTCCAGGTGGGACCTGGGGATCCCCTGGAATTACAGCTCATCTCCACACTATAGAGATCAGTTCCCCTGGGGAAAATGGATGCTTTGGACGGTGGACTGTATGGCACTGTCCCCCATTGAAGTCCCTGGGCTCCCTCCCCAAATTTCTAGGAGTTTCCCAGCCTACCTCTGGCAACCCTTCCCCCTCCATCCCCAACTGGTGGCCATAGGAGACCTGGCAACCCTACATGTTAACAGGATTATGCTTTGGTGTCAGTTTTAAATCTCTACATGTGTTATTTCAGTAGGATTTGAACTATCCACCTTTAAAAGTATGGCATCTGAAAAAAAGATTTTAAAAAATCATGAACTCTGCTCTTCAAAGTATTAAAGTCGGGCTTTCTTTGTTATTCTATGAAGGCTGGAGTTCCTGTCCAAGTCTGTCTTTTCTTCTTCCATAGTTGAAGAAGTAGTCCATTTTTACCAGAGTTTTGCCAAGATCAGTGTTCATTTGACTGCCGATAATGTGGCCATTAGTGTTGGGAATTTTGTCTGAAAATACTGATACGTACTCAGGAAGCTGCTTGTGTTCTTTTTTCTCGCCCTGGATAAAATAAAACGACACATTATTTATGCCTGAATCTATTAAAAATTTCTTCTGTAGAGACATTACAATTAATCGATGCTGTAGTAATTAAAATTGGGACAAGAAATCTTCCAGAAATAAATGTAAGACTATAATGACTACCTCGGAGGCTCAAGCCAAAGATCAGGTATTCCGTTTCCAGCAGTAGCCAGCTAGAGGCCTCTGGGAAGTTCACAAGCATGGTGGCAGCTATGTTGTTGGACCCTAACAGGTTGCTTGGAACATGACATGGAAATTTGGGGTGTTGTGGATAGTCAACAGTAATTGCAATCTTAGTATAAGAAATAACAGAAATCAAAAGGGGATTTTTAAAAAAAACCCATGGAAAATTACAAGAACCACGCAGACCCCAAACATTAAAATGTGAGATAAAATACAAAGCTTGAATTTCCTTTTCTTAAAACAAATTAAACTAGAGTGATTTTGAACGATTTACTACTTAGTCAGACACATCTTTGGCCTGAATTTTCTCAGCTGCCAATGCATGGATAGAAACCATGTGGGTTACATAGGGGCAGGGGTCATTTCCTGCAGAAGCGCACAGGAACGGAGCTCCGGCAGTAAAGAGCCCAGGGGGTGGGCACATGCAACAAGCCCCACCCCCTGCTCCCAGCAGCCCTCAGTCAGAGCAAGAAGCAGCCAGGTAAGTTGCAGAGCTCCCCCCACCCCACCCCCATCCAAAACAGTTCAGTGGCACCTTTAAGACCAAGTTTTATTCAGGTACAAGCTCTCCCTCCTCTGCGAGGACAGATCTGCACGTCCCCCCCCAATAGCTAGCAATCCAAAACAGTCCAGTGGAGCCTGAGATGTCGGTGTTGCCTTCTGACACACTTCCGGTGATGTCAGGGGGTGTGGCATATGCAAATAAGTTATGCTAATGAGTTATGCTCCTGCACTTCTTTTTCTACAAAATGACCCCTGCAGGGGATCTATGTTAATGAGCTTGAGTTTAAGTATCTCTGTTATTTGTTGATCTACTGCATTGCTATTGGTATCTAAAGAAGCGAGCACTGACTCTCAAAAGCTTATACCCTGGAAATGTTCTTGGTCTTTAAGATGCTACTGGATTAAAATCTTGCTCTTTAACAGACTAGAATCCAGGAAGATATAGTGTGTTTGTGAGAATGAATTATGTCAATGTGGAAAAGGTAAAATCTTGTTAAGCTGGGAATTCCTGACTATATGTGTCTATTAGATTATGCATTTTTCAGCCAGTCCCAAAATATTTCGGGGATACTATTATAAAAGAGAGAAACCAGAAAGATGTAACCGTAGCCTGGTCCATTACACCATTTATACCCCCCATTATAATCACAGGCTTGTAGCTACAGTGGGGCCTCTTGTGGCCCAGCACCCCAACTTACTGCCAAGGCCCCATGACTTCCCATTCAGCCCAGGACCCCCAACACAGACCCGTTTGCTTGCCCATGTCCCCAGCCAGCAGCCCCTCTCCTACTCAAGCAACCAAGCCATGTGGCTTTTTGGTCCAACAGTTCCACCTTCCAGCTGTGTCTCTGTGCTTGGTGGTGGCACTCCACTTGGAGAGGGAACGATGCAGAAGTGAGTGGCTGAGCTGAGGCAGGCTGGTGCCAAAGGGGTTAACACTGCTGCCGGGGTTGCCACTTGGTTCAGCTGGGCTCTCCTCCCCTCCACGCTGTTGCACTCAGCGTCTGGGCTCACTGTGCCAGTAGGAAGATGGTGATAGATTGAATGAGTGCGGAGTCCAACTCCAGCGGCTGGGGGGATCCGATGGCAGTGGTAGGGCTGAGGCATGGGCGAGCACTGGGGGCGATGGGCTGGCTGTGTTGGCACAAGGGGGGAGTAGGAGGCAGTGGCTCCTGCTGTTGGGTCTGGAGAGGGCCCAGCGTGTGTGTCCACAGCACAGACCACTGGGACAGGGAGGAGTGTCAACAGCTGGAGTGCATGCAGCTTAGAGTGCACTGGGTCTGGGCTTTCCCAGCCCAAGGTGGGAGAAGACTGTTGGCTTGCTCCCCTGGAGGCACATCGCAGGGGTGCCCCCTGACTTATTTAAAGGTGCACCAAAATCAAAATCCTGGCTACGGGCCTGTATAATCATACCCTCTTCTTCCCAACCCATTGTTTCTTTGATCATCTGCTTAATGAATGATCTCTGACCTCTATTTGGTGCATATATGCAGCCTTTGGTGAATATCATGCAAATAAATCCAGATCCAGATGCCCTATAAATAGATCCATAAGTTAATCTTCTAAATGAGTTTCTTCCACTCCTTGTCTAAGAGTCCTTATTTAGATTTTCTCAGTTGGTTATCTACTGCCTCAATATATTCCATTGTTTTTGTCATTTTTAACAGTGAATTTTTTTTCAGAGTACTAAATGTACATTCTAGGCTTTCAGTTTTATGTGATAATTTAATATTACTTTCTTCTTTGACTGTAGTAGTGCTATATTTAAGCTTATCTTCAGTTGTCTGTAATTTTCTTTTTAAAGCTTGAGAAGTATTGTCTAATGCAGGGGTGTCAAACGTAAGGCCCGGGGGTCAGAACTTGGCCCATCCAGGGTTATTATTGGCCCACAAGCAAGTGGTGCAAGTGAGGAAACAGAAGGTAGCTTGGGGGGCCGAGTGGGCAGATCCACTCCGATTGTGGCTTCAGCACGGCAGAACAACTTTCTCTGAGGGAGTGAAACAGAACCCCTTCACTTCAGTGGCAGCCTCACTGGTAAGCTGGAAGCAACCACAGCCACGTTTATGATGGCTCAGGGTTCCAAGGCAACTTCAGTGCCAGCAGTCTCCAGTTATACTGGTCACTGGGTGGCCTGGGGCCTCTGCCACACGTGCGACCTTGGGTGCATGGTGCCTGCTCCCCCATCAGAAGAAGAAGTAGAGATTGGATTTATACCCCGCCCTTCACTTGGAGTCTCAGAGTGGCTTACAAACTCCTTTCCCTTCCCCTCCCCACAACAGACACCCTGTGAGGTGGGTGGGGCTGAGGGAACTCTGAAGCAACCTGCTCTTTTTTAAGGACAGCTGTGCCAGAGCTTGTGACTGACCCAAGGTCACATCAGCAGGTGCAAGTGGAGGAGTGGGGAATCAAACCCGGTTCTCCCAGATTAGAGTCCGCACACTTAACCACTCCACCAAACTGGCTCTCCATGATATGTCTGCCTTCAGCCTGGGGCGGCTGCTGCCTCATGGGGGTGGTGCAGCTTGCCGACAATCTCTGGATTGAACTCCAGCATCTCCAAGCCATGGCTTGTCTGGTGGCCTTGGTCAGAGGCAGCCACTGCTGCACGGGCATCTCCAGCTTATCAGGGTTTGCTTGGCCTGGGTCCCGCCATGCATGTGGCCTTGGACCTGGGCCACTGCCCCCCTGCTTTTGCAGGCAGGGCGGATAGTTCAACATCTTTCCAGTCCCCTTTCATGGTGGTTCAGGGGCAAGGGGAGCTCACAACTCCCAGCCACTTCATATTTTTACCATGGGGCCCAAGCTCACAGCATTGGCAGCAGGAGCAAACTGGAGAAGGGGTTTGCCCCCCTCCAGGCAGCGCAGGAGTGTCTACCCAGCACTGCACCTCTGGCTCTCCAGACCGCCCATGCGTGTTTTCCTTTGCACACACACCCCCAGCCCATGGGGCCTTGCAGTGAGGACACACCTATCTGGAGCTTACCAGCTGCTCTCCTTTATAAAGTTTATATCTCCAGTACTTGGCATTACATTTTATGGCACACATGGCCCAGCCTGACAGTCACATTTATGTCAGATCCAGCCCTCATGACAAATGAGTTTGACACCTCTGGTTTAATTTCTTTTCCTCCTCTTCTGCCTTTTTAACTCTTTGACTAATTCGTCAGAATTATTAAACTCAGTTTGGAACAATTTCTGAATTTTCTTCTAAAGCAGACATATTTTCCTCTGGAGGGATGTCCTGTTTCCTTTTTGTATATTTTAGGCTCATTCTTCTAGGGAAAAAAGACTATTTATTTATTAGATTTGTATCCCGCCTTCCCCACACAGCAGGCTCAAGACGGGTTCCATCAATGCACTATGCTATATACTGTGGTTGCACACATACACATGTTGCCGATGATCACAGCTTGCAGTTGCCAGTGGGTTCCAGCATGCATTCTGTACACTCAGCATGTTTCCCCATATTATGAGATCCTGTAATTCTTCCCCATTTTTTACAGTCGCCAATAACACAGCAGAGAATTTCCTAGTGCTTGGCAATATGGAAAACAGGGCTTTGCAGCTGCTTGTGAGTTTTTTTAAAAAAAATCTTATCAGTTTCAACATTGGGTTTTCCCCCTTTGCCTGCATTCCTTTCTCTTCCCATTTATTCAACAAACTAATGCTAAAATGCATGTGCAAACCTGAACTGCAAGGATTTAAATGGAAACTGCTTGCTGGATGCTACTGCGCAGTTGCGATAGGGCAATTGCGAGAATTTTTGAAAGATTTGGACACCCCCTCCCCACACGTCACAAGTGACATTCCACCCTGATTTAGAAAAGTGTGTTTTAAAATTGTAGCTGCAGAATAAATACACTGGAGGAAAAATAATGGTCCGTAAGGTGGGCACTGAATCCAGAGTCAAAATAAATGCTTACTGCTCTGAAATTCTGCAATACGATTTGCGTACATAATGGGCCCTTATGTTCTTGATAATTTATGTACAGCTTGTTCCCGAAGAAACTTTTTCTCTGCTGTAACATCTTGACCTGGCCTTTTCCAGTGACTGCCTATTGTGACTATGAAGCCCACTTTTGTGTGTAGTAAAGCCAAATTATACTGTAGAAGCGCTTTTTTGTACACTATAGTTCACTTACACTAAATCTCATTTGACATTCTGTTGCTAGATTACCTAGTTATGAGAGTTCCATTTGAAACTTTTCATAATGTATTCCAAATTTTGCCATCCTTATTAATTAGGGGTCATTTTTTTAAAAAAACCTTTTTATCTTTAAATTTCAGAATAT